ATGTAAGGTTATTTATCTTTTTTTGGTTTACTTTTAATCACTGGATGTCAGAAGGAGAAACTCTTCAGGAAAGGCCCAACTGCTTTGCTTTGCACCTTCAGAAAAGAATTGGATTTGCCTGCCAACACAATTTGTTAGGAAACAGAATTATATAACTGACCCTCTTTTGTTAGTGGAGAAGGGGCATTCTTTGAATGATGTTATAATTCTGAAATGAAAATGATGCCGAAACGGCAATTTAGCAGAAGAGCACAAGAAGCAAGTCCCTCATTCTCAAATTGTTTATATTTTCTTCTCCTTCTTCTTGTAGATTTGCTGAATTCTTGTTTACAGAGGAATTCAAGGCTGGGTCTCGAGTCCTTGAAAGCATCTACAGCTTGTATGAAGGCTTCTCCGGGACAGTGTGCTTTCTGATTGATCTGCTGCAGCCCAGTCAGGCTGAGTTCCCTCTCTTCAGTGTGTTTGTTTAGAAGGCTTCACCTTCCACTGTGGCTTTGCAGAAGGCCCCTGAGATGTCCCGAGCCTACCTGCAGCAGTTTCTACATAAGCCACATTCACTGGGATCACAGCCATGAGCCTTAACATTGCTGCCAGGAGGAACAGAAGAGACATTTGATGGCAACTTGATATCACACTTGAGAATGCAAGTCTGAGAACATGAAAGATACAAAGCAACATCACTCTTCTAAAGGCTGTAGAAATACAATATTTCAGGGAATACATGTGAAACCGAAGGTCAAAGGAAAAAGGGAAAGAGAAAGGATCTGGTTTTCAGTTACAAGAGTAAAAACAAAACTAAATCAGAAATATGGTAATAAACTGCCAATCCCTGGAGAAAGAGTTTGGCCATTTGGGGTGGGTGTTTGCCACCTCCAATTTCAGAAATAAAAGACAAGGGAAAACTAAAGTGATTGTCCTATGAAAACTGATAGGGGGATGAAGTGACTGACTGACTGCTGAAGGGAGTAATTTCAAAAAGAAACTATTGTTTGTCCTGAACAGTTACTGATTTCAATTCATATTTTTTGTTGATTCATGGATATATTTATTGCAGATGAATATCTACTTTTATCACTTTCCTGGGCACTTTAAACAAATCATATCAGAACCTGGTAGAAACCCTAAAATTAGAAGTTTCCTTAGGCCTTTGACCATCTCCTGTTTCCTCTTTCTTTCATAAAGTTCAACTAAAATAGTGAGTATCATATACTAGCAAATACTGTAGAAAGTGTTGTTGTCAATTCATTTTCTCCATGTGAAGTGTAAGCTGTGAATTGTCTCTTGTTAGTAATTTGAAAATTGCCTTTATGTACATAGCCCCTTTGAAGCTATTAGCTGAACTGTAAAATAGACTCTTGGTTAAAAAAAAGAATCATATCAATGATATGGGAACCACTGCAAAGGCATGTTGGAATACTGTGATCCCTGGAATAGGCAGACAAAGGGATCAATGTTTGGGGAAAGAACATTGCTCAATTTTACGCTATTAGACTAAGACATAAATGATCGCCTTATCCTACAAGACACGGGGTCCACTGGAAATTGACTATAATATCGAACTAAGTTGTCTTATTAAATTCAACTTGGCTGTATACACACGGAAGTTATAAACAGACTACGTCACATAAAGAGGGTTTTTCAGGACATTGTGGGAGCATCTGTCACTTCAATACTCAGAACATAGCTTTACCCTTTCCCTAGCATTTGAGCACTGGCCATTTCAGATATCGGAATTAGATAGCTAGTAAGTAAACAGTTTATCTCCAGGTAAAACCAAGAACTTAGTCTTCAGTTCAGCGGATCCTCACTTGAACCACACATCTGGGATGACTTGAGAATGTTGTCTTGCCTGAAAATGTCTATTGTGTATGTTGATGCATGAGTGCGCTTATGTGTGTGTAGTACTTTTTTTATGGGAAAAAGATCTCTAGCATTCATCAAGTTCTCAAAGGATCTATGAGCCAAGAAAGGTAAGAACTGCCATTGTACACTCTCCGACTCTGCATGTTTGCATCCGACAGAACGGACTGGGACAGGATGCTTTTGAAAAGCACACACCTTTCCAGGTTATTGTTCTCTTCCTACTTTCACATCCTCAGACATAAGCATATAAAGTTGGCCTCAATTATTTATTTCTCAAAATACTCAGTTTAAGGTAATACCACATAAAGAGTAGCTTTAAGATGATTTCCAAAACTAGGTTCCGGAAGTTCTTTTTTGCTTAGCCAAGCATCTCTTAGAAACTCTGAGGCAAAATACCTCTTTACAAAATAGTATTTTATTTGCAGTACTCATCGTACCTGCGTCTCACCATCTGGATTCAAATTTATCTCATTTAATTACTAAAAACTGAAGAAAGTGACCCCACAATATGTAAGACTTTGTGGAACATATGCTTTTTAAATTATCCAGCCACCTCGTGATGTATGTTAGGTCATCAGTCCAAAGTCTCATAGCTATTAATGGGCAGTGCAAAGATTCAAACCAAGGGTTTCACTTTCTAACTGTATTTATTCAGTATTCTAACCTGAATCTGGTGATAAAGTATTAAACCAGAAGCCTGTTCCTATTTTCTGTTCCTTCCATCATTTTCTCTAGATATTTAAGTCAGTGGTTCTCAACCTTCCTAATGCCGCGACCCTTTAATACAGTCCCTCATGTGGTGGTGACACCCCCCCAAACATAAAATTATTTTCGTTGCTACTTCATAGCTATAATTTTGCTACTGTTATGAATTGGGCGACCTCTGTGAAAGGGTTGTTCAATCCCCAAAGGGATCGAGACCCATAGGTTGAGAACGCAGATTTATATCCTAAGACACTAGGTAAGAGTTCTGCTAGTGCAAATGGCTAAGTGCTTGGCTGCTAAGAACAAAGCCAGCTTCCAAACCCATTCATTGACCCCATGCGACAAAGACTGGTGATCCACTTCTGTAAACACTGAAACCAAGAAAACCCTATGGGGTGATTCAGCTCTGTCACATGAGATGACTGAGTCAAAATTGTCTTGAAGGTACCCAATAATGGCAACAAAACACTGGAAACGCAGCCCTTTTTTGTGTCAAACCCATCAAAGATCATGTTTGAATGTTCCCTTAGCTTCTAACTCAAGGTTTAGAGGCTTTTTTGAGTCTACCCAGAGGCATGTAGGAATAAAGGCCTGTCAATCACCTTCCAAAATTCAGCAAATAGAAATCCTAGGAGCGCAGTTCTGAACTTGATACACACAAGGTCACCCTGTGTTAGCACTGCCTCATTCACAGTAACTTGTTAGTATACCTAATGTTATTTAATATACTTCTAGGTGTTATAAATAATTATAAAACTTGAAGGAAGTAGTGAGACATTTTAAAGGCTACATTGAGACTCTCTGGAAAATAGGGAGATTACATTATATTTTGACAACAGGGAGTTTTATAACTCATTAAAACACTATACAATGCTGTTCCATTAATGCAATGATACACTTTTCTGCCACATTTCCTCCCACCAAAACGTTAGGCATCTTTGACTTTGCCCAACTCCTCAGCACTTGATTTGAAAAGTACATATAAAATTAAAGCCAAATCATCCATATTTTTCTTTTTATGAATTGAATAATATGAATTAAAAGAAAACACTATCCTTTCTTCTCTTGCTTTTGTTCTCTGTAGACAATATTGAAGAGGAAGAAGTTTAACTATGGAGAGCTATGAATAGGCAGTTTGCAAGGACTTCCTGTTTGCTTTGTCTCTGGTTTTACTCAGTTTCTATAGGAAATAGTTTGTATATATTGCTGTGTGTGTGTGTGTGTGTGTGTGTGTGTGTGTGTGAGAGAGAGAGAGAGAGAGAGAGACACTAAAAGGGAAACCCAGGATCTTATGTGAAATGAAATCCAATATATTTTTATTAGAAAGATCTGTGTGAGAGGATATATGCCAGAGTGGATTGATTAATGAGTGGGTCTCACCTGTATGTTAACTGCTCTCTAATAAATTAGAGGGGCGTCATTAATTAGGGCCTTCGTCACAGTCTAGTTGCCTGGTGTATGGATTTGTTTTCATGAAAACTGCCAGTTAAATCCTTTGATAGCCACCTATAGAAGGTAACATCTATGAGTTTCACAAATAGAGCAACAATGTTCAATAGAAATATAATGCAAGCCATATATGTAATTTTTAAATTTTCCAGAGGCCACATTAAAAAAGGAAAAAGGTGAATTCATTTTAATATATTTAATTTCTGTCACGCTATCTTAAATATTATTTCAACCTATAATTGATGTAGAAATATTTATGGGAAATTTTTTTTAAAAAAAAGAAATATTAATGCATTAGTTTACCTTTTTTGTACAGAGACCAAACACGGCATGTATTTTGTACAGGGTTCCTCTGTGTGTGTGCATATGTACATGTATAATCATTTTTGTTACAAAAGGAAATAGAAGTATCCATACTAAATAAGTGCTGTACTGTTTCTCCAAATGCTCTATGTGTTGGGGAAGATCTGTAATTAAGAAAAGATTAGTAAAGTTGCATTCCCTTTGGAAATGTACCTAGTGAAGTTATTAACATACTAAAATCTCTAAGAAATCTATCCTGGGTAAGAAAACCTGTTTAAAGTTTTTTGAGTTCCATGTTTATAAAACTTAGCCTCTTGATCATTGCTGTTGCCCAGCTATGATAAAAACACAGCTAACCTGGCATGACACATTCATGGTACCTTTATAATATTGAGGGTATTTTTTCCCTACAAAGGAAATTTTAACACTCCCCTTATAATTAAAGATATCAGAACAATGGTTCATTCCGAAATTGCAGGTCCTTATTAATTTTTCTTGACCTCATAAATATCCTGAGGTCATTCTTGACTCCACTTTGGGGGACAAGAATTCTAGAACTTGCCACAAGTATTTCTATGTAATAAGAAAAACTTAGTTTCCCCTACCTCCTCCTCTCTTTCTGGTGTCTTTCTCTACTTACTCTTGATATTGAGAACACCCAAGACCCAAGATAAACCTTTTTTGCTTGTTTTACAACAATCACCTACTAAATTGAAACCAGCAGATGGCTTTAAGTTAATACAGAGGGCTGTAGATCTTTAGAAAGTACCGCAGTACACATCTCTCTCATGCTTTCAGAAATGATGAGCAATCTAAAGAGATCAGGAATTAATAACTGAACGTGTATAGATGTAAACACAGAATGCCCAGTTTCCTAAGTAGAGGAATACAGTTCCTGCTGGTGTTTTCTTTTTAGATTTTATGGGGTGTTCATTTATTTGAGTTATATGTACTATTCAATGTGTATAAAATAACTGTGGCTTAATGTTTAGTTTTAAAAAGATGTTTAAAAATGTTTAGTGTATGCTTGGCTACGGCCCACCTGTAGTAAATTGTCTGTCTACTGTCTGATTTTGGTGGAAGCTCTGTTGCTGCCCCTATACATTTTAAGATTCCCTTTGTAAGTGGCAAGTCCGAATAAAAGCATTTCTGTGGCTGAATGTAGTCCATGCTGTCCACAGATGTATTCAAATAAGCAGACAGATTTCAATAATTAGTTTTGCCTCTGTTTTTTAGGGCTTTGGTATTTTACTGTGACAAATGTCTTCTGAAGTCTCTCTGTTCTTAAAAACTGTGAGTACAACGTTACTTGATATAGGCTCTCTCGTAGTAGGAGTGGAATACTGTGTGAAAGTTGGACTCAGAGTCTGTCTGACATGAAAGGACTGTCCATTTTGTAAACTACCAACAGCTTTCTTGCATGTAAGCATCTGGGGCATGCTGCTCAGAAGGAAGTCTGAATCTCAATGGCACTAAAATAACGATGTTAACAATGGAGTTTGTAGAATCTAATCATGAGGGGAAAGCCTTTGCAAAGCCGTCTACTGAAGGAGAGGGAAGCATCCCATGTTAGTTTTGAAATGCGCTTTATCCAAGTGAACAGAATTTACTTTGTCACAAAGATTCTATTGCACAATTCATAATCCTTATGGGAATATGCCTGCATCCTTAGAGGGAAAAAAGTTAGCTCACTTTTTTGAATGATACTTCACAAGCAACAAATTAGTGCAATATTTTAATTGGTTGGGGGGGGGGCATAAAACATAATCCACCAATATCATATATCTACTTTTTCCTAATTGTACCTATGAATGAATAAGTACTCTGACTTAAATCACTACTGGTGAGTGCTCAATAAATTAGTGTCATTGATACGTTTGTACTCTTTGCAATACATTTGCCTCAGTACAAATGCAGGTTTATAAACATAAGATTATATAAAGCAAATAATATGCCAATATTAGAGATAAGGTTAGATCACCTTAAAATCCTACTAATGTCCATTAGCACTAAATCCAACATCAGTTACTTATAGAAGTAACACTTTGAAAGACTGGCACATAAAATTAGAGGCTTTTTAAAAAACGCCTATTTGCCAAAACAAATTGTATGCCCATTTGCTAATTATTATCTTTTGGGGGTTACTTTGAAGAAGATGTCAAAGACATATCTGTAGCAGTTAAGCCTAAATTTAGAGCAGAACGTTCTGTCAAATATTTTACTATACCACAGAATATTATAGTGCTGTATTTTATAATAAAACCAAATTCTAAAGTATTCTGATATGTAACACATTATGCCCCCCAAACCTCTTTCTATTCAGTCTATTGTTAGGTGCATAATATTTAAAAGCCTGAATATTTTAGTCCTAGCAAGAAAGTGTAATTCAAGACAGGATATTAAATTGATCGTTAGGCAAAATCCATTTAGGTGTTTGATGGGGAAACTAGCAAGCATAAGCACTTACATACAGAGTCTCAAGGGCAAAATGACAAATGAGAATAAGTACATCAAGGCCAGACTGGAGGAGTTAGCTAGTATATCGACAGAGAAGGATAAACCCTAAAAGGGTCTTAGATTTTAGCTGTTTTACTTTTTGTTCCTAGAGGGGGAAGTACTAGAGTCAATCAATATAATTTCCCCTTTATGTAAGGGCTAGACTGAGACAGAAGCTTAGAAATACACCTTACTCTTCTTAAAACTGCTATTACAACGTTCTAAACACTGTGATCTTTCTGTGTTTTCTGTATTAGTTTTGTAATGTAGAAAATAATTCCTATACTCTGGACTTGGTACTTAAATCAATGTCATTTTGTTATTTTGTGGCTTACCTTGCCCCTTTACATTTAAATATAGTTCATTTATTAATGTAAGACCTGTGATAATCCGTTGCCTTAAAATAAAACCTAATGCTAAATATTGAGTGTGTTCTAATGCGTAATTGTGAGGTCCTAATTAATTTCCCCTTTAAAGCTTACTGCAGTGTCAAATAAAATCTTACACCAAATGTTCTGTGGAGTGTTGTTGCTGATTCTATATCTGTGACTGCGTGTGTATCCTGACCCAGGATATGGTGGCCTGCTGGGTTCTATAAATAGCCACTAGTAATCCTTTTAGAGAAAAGGCCTGGTACTTCTCAGCTGTTGGCTGAATCCTCCTTAAATCCTTATAAAGCAATACCACACAAAAACCCAACAGAAAGTGGGGGGTGGGGTGGGGGGTTCTGCATGTTCTTTCTCTACATTTTTTTTTTTTTGGTCTTGAGTCCTGGTTATTCTTCCCTCTCTATTTTTGTTTTCATCATTTTCCTAAATAGAAAAATGCCAGTGATGTCTGAAGTCTGATGGAGTCATGCAATTTCAGCGCAGAAAGGATTCTTACAATGATTAAAGTCAAACCCCTTTATGCAGCAGATCAGAATATGCGATTTAGAGGGGCCCAGGTGGCAGAGTGGGTTAAAAGTTGGGCTGCTAACCACCAGCTTCTCCTAGGGAGAAAGAAGAGGATTTCTACTCCTTTAAAGAGTTGTAGTCTTGGAAACCCGCAGGGGCAGTCCTACTGTGTCCTACAGGGTTGCTATGAATCAGAAATGACTGGAGAGCAGTAAGCTTGGAGTTTGGAGTGTCTTGATCAAGTCCTTCGCCAGTTCATTGGGTGAAAGGAGCTGTGTTATCAGCTGGCACACACCATCAAGAGGTATCCCTTGGGCTAGATAATTGCTTCCTTATTAGGCCCTGGTTTTTGCCCTGTCTGACTTAGTCATAGTTATAGAGGAATACATTTTGTATGTAGTTTTTCTGGGAGGGAAGGCGTTAGCTCCTAGAGATGACCTCTGATGCGCTTTCACCAGAGGAAACAACAATCCAAACGACTGTCTTTGGAAAAGGAAGGAACATGGTTATGTGACAAGGTGAAAAGTTAAAATCCTTCTTATCTGTGTGCTAGGGCATGCCGATGCACCAGCACTTTGAGTTTGAAAAGCATGGGTGATCTGGTTATTTTAAAATGACAGCCAACCCGGGTCTTTTAAAGAATCAGGTTTGCCCCAGGCCCAGAAAGTAGAACAGACTAACAAGGCACCCAGACTCCAATTCTGGACCTTGTTTGGTGCTAGTTTACAAAGGGGTGGGGCCGTTTTCCCAAGAGAACGCCGCGGAGGGACTTTAGGACCCAGAGGCTGCGCGCGGGTCCAGCCAGGCCGGATGGGTCCCTCCTGGCTAGACAGGAGGGAGCTGTGGCGGACGGGGGTTCAAGGCCTGCCTGGGGACTGTCTCCCCAGAGACGCCGCAGGCACTCGGCCGCGCGGGCGGCGCCCAGTGCGCGTGGGCGTGTCCCCGCGGGGCCGCGCTCTCCGCCCCACCCCAGTCGTGTCGCTCGCCCTCGGGCCCCGCTCCAGCGCTC